CCTTAGTAAGAATTTATAATCGTCCTGCAGGCGGATGTTCTCGTTGACAGTAACTCAGCTCGGTGCAGTATAGTTGGTGTAGTTTCAGTGTACTACAATAAGTATACTTTGGTAGGGTCCATTTTGCCAATACAATTTATATGTTAAAATGAAACGTGAAACCACCATCTGAACATATTGTGACATATGGACCATTTCTTGGAAACGAACTGGCAAATACGTTGTAGAGCAGAGATTGTTTCTTGGAAACCAACTGGTTACGGGATACGTTTTCCGTGGATACGAAAACTGAAAGTTGTGCATTAATGGAAACCACAGCGTTGTTATGAAATGAACACGCGTTTCTATGGAGCTGTGGATTCCTGGAGACCGACAAGGGACGGAACGTGTTCCCGTATCAACGGACAAGCAACAAATGTTCTCTATGGTTACAGGAGAAGAATTGATTTAATTCCGTGTGGAGGCTGGCCGATTATCTCCACCGTAGCCCTGAGAGACGTAGGAGACGATAGAAAGGGGAAGTAAAATGTGGCCACGAGTCCCACGGGACTCGGATCCGAGAACGACTGCACTGTCGAAGGCCAGCAGCATATACAAAAGACAGACCCGTCCTCTCGTCAGAGAGAGCGCCCCACATCAACAAACCCGCAACTGTTTGACAGTGATAAAGATGTGGTCTTAATCCCCAGATGGGTGCTTTATTCCAAGACAGGCTGGCCGAATGACCGTCAGTCGTAACATAGGACTCAGGCTCGAAACGGATTTATTCTTCATTCGTAACAGAGTTCAGAGTTCAGTAGATGAACTGAATTGAATGTTCAGCTGTGGAGTGTTAACCAGCGGATAACGGAAGCTGAAGAAGTGACCAATTCGTAATTCAGAAACAAGTCTGTCACAGCAGAAGAGAAGACACTCGTAGTCCACTAAGCTAGGGAGCGAGTCTTAAGGTTCGGCCACACAGAGCGCTACGTACGCTATGTTCGCTATACGAACAGAAAAATATCTCCCTTTATTGCCAATGTGACTGGCCACACAGACTTCCGTACGCTACATACGCTATGCTAGCTGCGTCGCAGAGTGTACACAGTGTACGTAGCGAACATAGCGTAGCGCTCTGCGTGGCATAACCTTTAGGCAGCCATTGATTTGAGCTGTTGTAATTGATTATAATTAAGGTTGACTGTAAAAGAAGTGTCAATAAATCCAATTATCTAATCCGGAACCCGTTATTATTAGTCACGGAAACCCGGACAAGCCACAATATCTATTTTATTTTCTTATGTTTCTTCATAATAATCATCTTCTTGGAGGGGGAAACAATGTGTTAAAGGAAATTTTAAAATTTACATATATTTACGCAAGATCTAGAGTGTCTTAGTCATAATTACTTTATAATAACCTAAAAATATTATATGGAAATTTATTGTTGTGGACCGTTATAAAATGCAATTTTCTTCATAATAGGTGCATCGTAATCTATTACGTAAATCTGCCTCGTGCTCATTTTTGGTGTCAATACAGCGATTTTGTTCGTCCTTTAACAACAACAGCTCACATCAATGAACTATAATATAGTCACGTGTAGAAGTGATTATATACAAAGTTTGAATTGGTAATCGGATTTATTGGACACTTTAGCACACAATTCGTGACTACAATTTACAAATCACCATCATACAAAAACTAGTATTCTCAGTCAAGGTCTTCACTGCACTGATTGGTAATCTTCCAAAAGCGGATGTTCCTCTGCTCCCTGGCTCACGTCCTTGCAGGTTGGCGACCATCTCACACAGATCTCCTCTTCTAACTGCAGTCTCAAGGACCACACAGAAAACACTGCTTTCAATGGTTCTTCTATTTTTGGGTGACGTCACTATCCGCACCGCCCGCACAGAAAATTCCGTTCCTCTCTTGCATGTGCAATGGTTTTTACGCTGATGAGTATTTTATTGTTCCGTAACCTAGCAACGGCTCTCTCTTCAGTCATGTCACAACATAATATGTGCTGACCACAATGGCCGCGAGGTCTGAGGCATGCACTGCCTTCGCTCGCTCGAACGCTATGATCGTGGATTCGAATCCCACTCAGGGCATGGATATCTGCGTGTGGGTTTATTGTGTGTTTTTGTTATCCTGTGTGTAGGTAGCGGCCTTACGAGGAGCTGATCACTCGTCCAAGGGGTCCTACCGTCTATGTAAAAAGTATTACGTAACTGAAGATGAGGCCAGGGATCGACAGAGAGCTGTAGCGCCATTGATGATTGAATGTTATTATTTGCGACTTCTATAAAAATTGTGTTACACAAACATTCTGCGAATTTTGTTCATATATGCAAATAGTAAAACTTCCTGTACCATCCGATATCCCCCTTGAAGACTATGAACGAAGCAAGTCAGGGATTCTAATAGTGATTAAAAGTACTTAGAGGGGGATTTCACATCTTATATTAGCAATCAGTCTAACAAATTAGTGTCACAAAAGAGAACCACGGAGGTAATCTGGAAGCCGAACAACTAGTTTATGAAGCCATTTCAGCCTGCCTCCAGAGAATGTGAATCCAGTAGTTCGGAAGAGGGAGCACTCGGTACTGTGGCAGTCCAGACCTGTTACTTTCTCCATGGACGCTATGGTCCTCTTTAGACATTTCGGAAGGGTGAATGGTTTATTTGCGAGACCGATTTATTAGCATGTTATGACTTGTTTTTCGCATCTGGACAGAAAACATCTGCCTTGTTTTTGTTTACATGCAGTTTGGGTGGACGGAAGGGGACAAGGTCACCACGGGAGGCAAATTTAGTTTTCTGAAGATGTGAATTTTGTTTTGTTGACAGGTGCAGCCGTCATAAAGTGTCTTCGGAAGGGTGCAGCTGGACCCTAAGCTAAAGAAATAACCGCTCTCACATGCGGGGTTCCGAGTTCTGTATTTTGGGAAATGTTTTATTCTCAAAATTCGTTATGCGGATTCCATGATGAATTTGACTAGTTAAAATCGGCCAACAGGAAATGAATTCTTGTCTCACAGAGAGGCCGTCGATTGAAATCCTTCTTGGGGGATGAAGCGACGCTCCCGCAGGGTAGCAGTCTTCAGAAACTTGGCGTTTGAATTGATCGGAGGCCAACGTCATTGAACTGCGCTCCTGTGTTTCTCTAAATTCATCAGCACTTCACCTTGAATCGTTAAAATTTGATAATAGTAAAGGGCCACATTACTCCCTGTCTGCAAATGAAGTTATAATATTTCGCTTCTGAATAAATAAACAGTTTGTGGACAGCGGAAGTTATGGTGTTGATTTCGAGCAGTGGGCTGGCTTCGAGTGTGCAGTTTCCGGTTGCCTCAGTTATTGCCGCAACACGATCCTGATAGAGTCAAGTGGTCTACCGAAGCCGGCACGTAAGAGTAGATACAAAGAAAGAAATGGGGGACGGTAACAGTTCCGTAGTTGGTTAAGGCACTATGCTACAAGCCGGAAGGTCGCGGGTTCGAGTCCTGATGAGGTGGATTTATTTCACTTGACGTAATACTTCCAGCCGCACTAGGGCCCTGGGTTCGACTCAGCGTGTAACAGAAATGAGTACCAGGAATCTTCCTGGAGAGAAAAGGGCGGCAAGGATGACAAATTTACCTCCATCTGTGAGCCGACTGTCTAGATAATGTGAGACCCTCAACGTCTCATAAACATGGGCCTCCATGACTTGATACAAGGATAGCTTTGCCTTTGTACTAGTTCGGAAATCACTGACGTTTCTATGTGTACACACATGAACCCCGCAGGTAAGCATTCCATCGCGTTTGGGCAAACTGTATGCAAATCTACAAGCGCAGGTAATTGAAATTCGCGATTTCATGAGCCGTGGTTGACCATGGATTACTGCAATCACTTCTTACCGTCTTTTACATTTATACTGCAGTTTCGCCAGGTCGACATCAATTGTTTTCCCATACCACTTCTTGTTCTACTAGAGTCGTAGATTGAGAATGTTTTAGAAAAGAGGCCCGAGGAAAATGGATAGGTCCAAGAAAGCATAAGTATGCCGCGCCATAGCTTTAGCGGTTAGTCGTTGGCTTCCCACCACGGCGGCCCGGGTTCGGTCCCGGGTCTGGTCAAGTGGGATTTGTGGTGGACAAAGAGGCTCTGAGGCAGGTTTTCTCCGGGTACTTCGGTTTCCCCTGCCAATCTTCATTCCACCAATTGCTCGACAATCACCCTCACGTATCATCTGGGGCTGGTACAATAGGCCAGAAGTGGCCGCAGTACAAGGGGCTTAGTCCCACCCCACTAGCAATAAAACAAAAAGAATAAATATAAAGGAGGTTTGAGAAAATACTTACAAAAGGAGGCGCTTCGTCGGATATTATTAGGGGCATCAAATTAAAGAAGAGGCATATAAGATCATTAAGACTTTTATTTAATTTATTTTAAACTTGATCGATTCTCCATCTCAGGTACCCTCAGATTATTAGAGCACGTTCTGTTGAAAACAGAAGAGCTATATTTGCAAGTAAGTGCCGAAGATTCGTAGGTCGTAACGCAATAGACGTCGAAGTTTCTGAATAGCACTCATATTTACGTTATTAGTATGTTGATATTAATGGACATTTTTTAAATAAGTCTATAATTTAACCATAAATTTAATTCCCTAACTTTGAATTGATTTTCCTTCTGCCATTGGACATGTACGTGTATGAACAGTTGAAAATTATTTAGCTGGTTCGTACATACTTTTTGAAAAAACCAAAGGTCCACACCCTTACAGCCTACCTGTCTGAAACATTGGGCTATTTTCCTCCTTACCTATGCTCTTCCAAGTGGTTTCTTCCCTTAAAATTTTCTAACATTGATTTATTAACTTGTCTCTTTCTTTAATCTGCTGTAATTTGTTACCTAAATTTTGTAGACGTTTCTACATATTTCATGTCAGAACGACAACAAAAAATTCCATGTGCACTCGACTTGGCAAACAGCTGATTTATGTTGGTTTCACTTTTTTTTTGTTTCAGAATGAAGAAGCCGATATACGTGACAAATATGTGAGCATTGCAATGCCCACACAACCTGGTCCCAAGACAGTAAGGGAGCAAGACACTAACAGTTTCATGTTTTAATCATAAACTACCGAAATTTATGGAACATCTTCAAGAAAGGATCGTTAACTCCGATGTAGGTCAGAGAGAACTGCAGGACGCCGTGTTAATGTCTTTATTCCGGAAACAGAAACACGTGGCCAAGAACAAATTCTGATCATTTTATTTCAACAAGTGCTGGTTTAGCCCAATTCAGTGTCCTATTGTAATTAACAAGAGCCTTGTATATGCCGTATGTAATAAGGACACTAGAACATTTCATTACAATTGATATACGATTATATAAACGCACTACCATCAGTTCATGGTTGTAGAAGCATAAAATACCTACAAATACAAAAGAAGGAATAGTTTATAAACACGAGTGTATCTGTGTGAACATAATTGACAGAGATTTATTCACCCAAAGGAACTGGGTATTCGTAGAAGAATTACGCTCTGAGAATATCACGTAATAGAATTTTCCTATGAGAGCTTCCATGCGCCCAATTTGGCTGGCGCATTGCTCGGCACGCCCGTTGAGTGGACTTGCCCACTATGCATGACTGCTGGGTCGGCCTTCCTCTCGCGTTCACATCTTCAGATCAACACTGAACGTTGTGGAACGTGCACCGGCCACACGGGACTCTGCAGCAAACAGGTGACAGTTGTCTTAGTGATCAACACGCGGTCCCATTAGATCCAAGTGTAGGTCTGTAACAGCGTTTAATGTATTTCTGACTTAATTCGTTTACTCGAGTGGGCAGTCTTTAGTGATGTGGTGCAGTGTAGTCAGTGAATTTATAATTAACAAACAACAATAGAAACAAAATGCATCTGTGTGAGGTTAGATATTTTATAATGGTTTACGCTGTGTCGCTTCTCAGTGTTTAAAAAGTTTACATTCAGCGAACTGTGCTTGTGACGTAGCTTATCCGCTCACTGTAACCTGACGCCCTGTTGGCGGCAATGTGTGTTGGTGATTTCAAAGTAAAAGTGATATCCGATGATGGATGAGTTTGAAATTGGTATCACAGACAACATAACACATGACTCCTACGATAATTATACACAGCCCTTCAGTTCAACACCTCAGAGAATTGCAGCTACAATGTACAATGTAACAGAAGGGAGTAACATGACTCAATATGATACGATATCTAAAAGGGACCCTTTATATATTCTGATCCCAATCACGGCGATATATGCAGTGATCCTGCTGACCGGTTTGGTGGGCAATGTGAGCACGTGTGTGGTGATCGCCCGCAACAAACACATGCACACAGCCACTAACTATTACCTGTTCAGCCTCGCTGTGTCGGATCTGCTTCTGTTGGTGTCGGGCCTTCCTCAGGAGATGTACTTCATTTGGTGGCGCGTGTATCCAGATGTGCTTGGGGAAAAAGTCTGCATCCTGCAAGGATTTGCTGCCGAAACGTCGGCTAACGCCACGGTACTTACCATCACGGCGTTCACAGTAGAACGCTACGTGGCCATCTGTCATCCCTTCCAGTCGCACACCTTCTCCAAGGTAAGCAGCGACCAGGTCCTGATCCAGGATGTTATGACCTATGAGTATAATGGGCTGGATATTATTGCCATCAGTACCTTGTATGCTGATGTTATGCTTACGGTTTCATAGTCTGTGAGATACCTCTCTTCCATTTAAATGTGTGATAACTCCGTGGCTTGATTCCGCAAGCAAACTATACCGACCGAGCGACCGCCGCTTGTCGGTGGAGTTAACGAAACCCCGCGGCCGCTAATTTTCGGTTTTTTATATTTCTTTGAAATAGCTCCTCAGTTATCCCCACGAGGCTGAGTGGACCCCGTTTCCGACCCACTTCTTCTCAGAAAATCTGGTAGCGCCAGGACTCGAACTCGGAAACTCTGGATGTGTAGCCAAGAACTCTGACCACTAGACCACAGAGGCGGTCTTTAAATGTGTGATGGAGTATTGCTATTGAAATTGCTATAAATTATCTAGATAAATAGATACTTTATAGCAATTTAATACTTAAATGTATGATGGAACATTAAATTTCTATAAATTATCCATCTATCCACCCACCTACCTATGTATGGCTGTACTGTCCTCTGTTGAACCTTGGCCGCTTTTCAGTTTCTTGATCTTTTACATGGTCGGTAGGACCCTCTGGACTGGCGATCAGCCCGTCGCAAGGCCGCTATCGGCAACATAGGACAGCACAACACAGAATAAACGCACACTGACATCCATACCTCGAGTGGGATTCGAACCCACGATCCCAGTGTTTGAGCGGGCGAAGATAGTACATCCTCAGACCGCCGGCCACCGTGCTCAGCTGCTATAAATTATAACTAACGAAATATCTCAGTTTCTAGTCCCCATAAATTCACACCAAATATCTTGCTGAGTTCTTAGCACGACTACATATTTTGAATATCCCATAGTGAAACACTGGCCCCGAAGTCAGGGAACCATACATGAGGTTGGTTTTGAAGTGTTCACAGCGCTGGTTATGAAGAGTACTATAAAGACGCGCAGTGTGTTGAAAGCCAACCGGCGTCTCGGATTACTCTGCTTGCCACCTGCTTTCACGCTGGTATCTCTGTCGGCCTACTCGGCGAAGAAATTGGAGGCGTTATGTCGAGCCGAATCGTTGGCAGACACGACGAATTAGTTGAGACGTCGTGGGTTCGATTCCCGATGTGTTCATTGGATTGTTTACTTGACATAATTCTCTCAGTCGCAATATGGCCCTGGGCTCCTGGTTACCAGGAATCTTCCTGGGGCTAAAAGGGCAACCGGTGCGTAAGGCTGACAACCTTACCGCCATCTGTAAGCCGATTATCTAGATAATGTGGGACCCTCCCTCAACGCCTCACAACCCTATGTGTCTTCACGGTCTTTTTCTTTTCCTTGGCACTACAGCCCCAGTGGGCCTAGGCCTACCTCCATGAACTTCTCCGTTCACTTCGGTTTTTCTAGATCTTACACATTCGGTAGGACTCCTTGGGCGGGTGATCAGCTCGTCGCAAGGCCTCTACCTGTATACAAACACAGAAAAACGCACACAGACAAACTAAACATCCATGCCCTGAGTGGGATTCGAACCCACGATCCCGGTTTCCAAGCGAGCGAAGACAGTACATGCCTTAGACCGCTCGGCTACCGTGACCGGTTCACAGTCTTTTACAGGAATAAATATCTTTTTCTATTGTTCCTTAATTTCTTCCTATCATAATTGATCCACAAGTCATCGCATTTCAGAATAAACATCTACGAACATCTCATTCATGCTTCTGAGGAACGAAACTTATACTCAGAAAAGTTTCCAGTTCGAATCTCGGTCTAGCCACCGGCCATTCTGACGACCATGGCCTCCTCTCTTTATATCCTTGCTTTCCCGCTTTTCATCATCATCACCTTTATTATTCTTTTTAGTATTCTTAGTGGGGTGGAACTAAGTCCCTTGTACTGCAGCCACTACTGGCCTATTGTTCCAGCCCCAGATGATAGGTGAGGGTGATTGTGGAGCAGTTGGTGGAATGAAGATTGGCAGAGGAAACCGAAGTACTCGGAGAAAACCTTCCCCAGCGCCACTTTGTCCACCACATATCCCACGTGATCTGACCCGGTCTCGAACCCCGGGCCGCCGAAGTGAGAAACCAGCGACTGCGCGGTTGTCAGCGTCTTTAAGTAGCCTGGGAATGAATTTATGTAAACGAAGCTTCAATTCAGCTTGTATTAGCGTATATCTATTACATATTATTTAAGAAGAAAACTGCGCAGGTTGTATTGTATGGGCGTAACACTTGATCTCTCACGCTCTAGGGGAAGAGGCGCAGTGAGTCTGAGAACAATGTGCTTAGGGGAAAATTGGTTCCTAAGTGGGAGGACATGAGAAGATAATGAGGAAAGTACATCATGAGGGGCTTCATAATGTGTACTGTTCACAAAATATTGTTAAGATAATGACTTCAAAGAAGATGAGATGAGCAGAAAGGTTGCATCCACGAGAGATTATTATTAACACAGAGAAACCTGGTCGCAAGGGAAGAGAATATTTGGGAGACGCAATTGTAGATGCCAGTACACTGAAACGGATACGTAGTAAAGAAATAAGATATGATCATGTGGACGCGATTCTGTTGCTGGACCTGGAGAACGTAGTAATAAACACTGGAGAGTCACGAAGTACTAAATATGTTTTGACTATGATAATTGGTTTCTGAAATATGATTTTCTCCATAGACAAAGGTAATGTCTCTGCTCCAGGCTTACGTATATTCGTACATAACTCCAGACTGGGCCAAATACGTACATTCTTGTCTTAAAATCCCAGAATGGGACCTGCATTGAAGGAAACAGGCTAAAATACTTTAGTTCACATAACATTACTACAAATTTCATAACAAGATAAGTTTCGAGATCTCAGTCAAAAATTATAAATACAATACTAGTAAGAAAAGAGGTTTTCTTTTTTCTTCTTTGGCGCTACAGCCCCAATTTTGGCCTTGGCCTACCTCCATGAAACTTCCGTTTACTAGATCTTATATATTCGGTAGGACACCTTGGGCCGGTGATCAGCTCGTCTCAAGCCCTCTAACTGTACACAAACACAGAAAAACGCGCACACACACACACAACCACAAACAATAAACATCCATGCCCTGAATAGGATTCGAACCCACGATCCCGGCTTCCGAGCAAGCAAAGACACTGTACGAGTATGTCTTAGGCCGTTCGGCTACCGTGACCGGCCCTCATTTCTTAGTTTAAGCTGAAAGCCAAGCTTCCGTGTGCTGCTTCTGGTATGACGGATTATTTTAATCATCCTGTAATGACTCAGATGATTGACTACATTCTCCTCGGCCGGGATTCAGTTAAGCTGAAGGTGTTTATCACAACAACCCAGAGAGAGGAACTCCCAGCACGAGCTCAGTTAAAGGCCGTGTATATTTTTTTATTGCTAGTGGGGTGGGGCTAAGTCCCTTGTGCTGCGACCACTTCTGGCCTATTGTACGAGCCCCAGATGATAGGTGAGGGTGATTGTAGAGCAATTGGTGGAATGAAGATTGGCAGGGGAAACCGAAGTACTTGGAGAAAAACTGCCCCAGCGCCACTTTGTTCACCACAAATCCCACTTGACCAGACCCGGGATCGAACCCGGGCCGTCGCCGTGGAAAGCCAGCGACTAACCGCTTGAGCTATGGCGCGGGCCTTGCTCCATGAGTAAGTAAGTAAATTAAACCTTAGGTGTTTGGTAATATACCTTGGGTTTAGGATCGGCCAGACGCAAGTCTTATAAATTGTACATTCACCTGCCATCACGACATCACATTCATCAATGTCTTAGCAGGATTCGAACCCACGTTTTCATGTCGTGCTCAAATTTCGCCTCTCTGGCACTCTTATCAATTATGGATTTTCTGATATTGAGCCCAGTAATTGGTGTGAAGATTATTGTCTTTGTTACGTACGTAAATGTCCGGCAAACAGTCCGACGTTACTTCCCTGCAGACTACACGTACGTATTATCTTCTTGCTCAAAGCCGTGAGGAGGGAGACACCTAATCTGTTGGGACCCTTAGGAGGAGATGACCTCCAGTACAAGGATTGAGGTTAGTTCTTTCTAAGGGATTCACCACATCCTCTCCTGAGGACGGAAAGAGGTCCAGTTTCCGAAACTTTGTGTTCTCTAGCTGTTTAGAATACCGGCCGATGGACAAAGCCCAAGAACCCAGTAATTGCAAAAGTATTGCCAATCCGCCAGATGCCTTTTGCATTCAAGTCACGGGTTCTGATTATTTCTATGTTACAGTTAAAGCAGCTAAATATTGTTGGAATGGTGACTCACTTTAAATATTTGGGAATTACAGGAATAATTTAAAGTAACATTCACCAAGAATTTACAATGAAATTAAATTCGTGTATTGCTTGATATCATTCAGTTAGAAATATTCTCGGCTCCTGCCTTAACGCATAAATATTGAGAAAGTTGTGAAATATAATTTCAACCGTTGTTCAACCTGAGTGTCAAATTTGTTCCCTCTCCAAAGTAGAAGGAAGTAGATGGAAAATTTTCAAAATAAGATAATATTTGGACCCAGGGAAATACAAATACACTTAACAAAGAACTTAATAATTTGTATTCCTCAAAACCTATTATCAGAGTCACAAATTGAAGGAGAATGAAATGGATTGGACATGTAGCACACATGGGGAGATTAGAAGTTGAACTATTCGTCAGCACGACTTACATGTCCCAACTTGTGAAAAACAGTTTGAATAATCCATTGCAGTTACAGAAGTTTCTGGAGCATTCCAGCACACTGAGACTTTGTCCCTGGTTCCATGAATGTTGTCGATTAGTATGCGGCGCCGCTCAGCTGTTTTACCTCCCGCCGACAATATTTATTCATGAATCATATTCTGAGGTCATTCCGTTCTGCCTATAACGAACAAGTGTAATTACCAAACAGAGATACGCGATTTCAAATCTGTGTACAATTTTAAATTGTTACTGAAGAAGTCGGGATAGCTCAGTCGGTATAGCGGCTGCTTACGCGCTGGAAAACAGAGAGGTCGAAGTTCGAATCCCGATAGAGTCAAGAATTTTCTGTTCTCCACTCAACCTCCTATCCAATGGCTATCGGGGACTCTCCCCAGGGACAAAACGGCCGGCGTATGAAGCTGACCACTCAACTCCATCTAGTGCCGAGGTCAAGAAATGTGTATCTATACATCCACTCCCCCATACGCCTTCATGGCGTAGTGCATAATTAGTTAAGCACAGAGATAGCTTTACCTTTTATCTTTTTACTGAAATGTTGAAATGTGATTCTTATTTTTTTTTCATTGCACTACAGCCCGAATGGGTCTAGGCCTACCTCCATGAACTTCTCCGTTCACTTCGGTTTTTCTAGATCTTACACGCTCGGTAGGACTCCTTGGGCGGGTGATCAGCTGGTCGCAAAGCCTCTACCTGTACACAAACACAGAAAAACGCACACAAACATCCATGCCCTGAGTGGGATTCGAACTCAGGATCCCGGCTTCCGAGCGAGCGAAGACAGTGCGTGCCTATTCTTATTTATGAAATGTAAATTTTCCCTCTCTCGAAGTTGGCGTAGAACAAATCGGTATTACGTAAGTAAGTAACTAAAGAAGTAACTAACTCCATAAGTTAGTGCCCCATTATGACGCACATCATTTCTTAGTTCTCAATATATTCACTCCATTTACCGAAAGGAAGGATATTCTTTATCATGTTCAAAGAGCCCATTACTGAATTCTGTTGTGAGAAAGCACACTACAGCTCGTGACCTCGCATAATGCTTCTTTGAAATCCATTTTGATATAGTCCTCCAAACTTTACACAAGTCTCTCAAGTGATCTATTTTTAGCAGGTTGCAGCTAGGTTAGTGCGTGGCTGTTTGGAGGACTTGAGTTCGAATCTCGGACGCCTGCACATCACTGTATATTTAGCGGTATGCCTATCCACTTCTGGGGAAAAGTTGAAACTTATTCACCAGATATGGAGACTTATAATCAAGGGGAGAGCTAACAACTGAAGGACATATGTCCTCTGCCCAGTGAAGATATATTGTAATGTTGACTGAGGGCTTCTCACGTTATCGCGGATCGCCATAGGCCATTGCTGAGGTTAATACACCGAGACCCCTTGAGTGAGAGTTTCAGTCGTGTTATAAACTTCACAGTTATAAGAATGAGGGCCATGCTCGCGCCCAAAGACAAAGGGAAGCCTGCTACAAAATTGATTAAAGCCACCCTCAGACTGTCTATTATAAACATTAAGTGTTTTCCGTGCAAGACTGCCTATACAGTTTAATAGCGTTCATTGTGTTTGCGTTAAATATATGTCCAACAGTGACTGTTGCTTGCATCTTACAACAAAGGGAAAGGGGGAAGTGCTTTAACCAAACACTCCTATCATACCATTCTGTCTCGTTCTATACACAAACACACACACATTTCGCTCATCCGTGAACCACCGCTTCTCAGTTAAAAGCAACACAACCCTCTGACAAAAGTCCCGTCCCACCTTGCACCCAAGACCTCGTGCAAGAATACTGCTAAGTGAACTGAGCATCTACAGTGAACCAAGTAGTAGTAGTGTGCTTATCCTTAGTGGACTCAGTCCACTGGCGCCCCTCTGAACTAGACGCGCATATACACTGTGGACGTTATGGAATTAGCGAGCAGCGAGACGCAGTATTCAGAGAAACTCCAAGCTGATTATATAAGTGTATATCTTATCTCCCCATAATGTAAAAGAGTACTAGTAACTTCTTTTCCACAAACTACTATTTATATAAGCGCTTGTATTTCATATATGTACACACACTTTTATACATATATTTAGTAGCGTGAAAAAGTTTTGGCTGAGGAAGTGTCTAAACAAAAATCATCCTAATCCTTGTAAAGTAATAAGAGTACCAAACAATTTTGATTAATAAATGTCTGAAAAACGGAAAGAACAGCAGCAGAACAAACATACGATTGATGCTTTTCTCTGAGAACAATATTTACATATACGTGTATATACCAGTTACGTTAATTCACGTATACAGCAGACTTATAAAATAACTTCAATGTATTGGTGTGAGTGAAAGAACGGGGAAACATCAAATAAGCTCGTAGTTTCAGTAAAGAATAAAATGTCCCATATCCAAGTAATACTTAATGGATATGAAACCCAGAATAATATTCATTACTTTTGTGGTCTTACCCGATCACAATGTGAGCCTAGTGAGTTTCTTGGTGTGGGGTGAGACTGAGTCCACTTGGTAGGTTGGCCACTCTTTGGCCTATTGTACCAGCCCCGGGTCATATATGATAATGAATGTGGAGCTTTCGGTGGAGTGAGAATTGGCAGAGGAAATCGAAGTACTCGGAAAAACCCTGCTCCAATACCACTTTGTCCACCACAAATCCCAGAATACCTGGCCTGGGCTCGAACCCCGGCCTTCACGGTGGGTGCCTGAGCTATGGCACGGCGAGTTTGAGCCTGTTTGGCATTGAACGAGAGTGTCTGGTTGGTGCTTTCAGCTGTCGCGGGCCGTGCGGCTGGTGATGGTGATTTGGCTAGTGGCTCTAGGCCTGGCGGTGCCCCAGGCCATCCAGTTCGGCGTGTTACAGCGCAAAGCGGAGGACGGGACCGATGTGGTGCTGTGCACTGTCACCTCGGAGTTAGTGCAGCATGCCTTTGAGATCTCGACCTTCGTGTTCTTCGTGGCGCCCATGACTCTCATCACCGTGTTGTACGCTCTCATCGGCCTGAAGCTGCGACGCTCCAGGCTCCTACACGCTGCCAAGAGAGCGTCCATCGGAAGCAGCAGCACCGACAGGGGCAATGACCGCGCCGTCGGTGGCAAGAGCAGCTCGCCTCAGAACTACGTCATTCGAATGCTTGGTAAGTAGTTAAATTTGCATGCTGGAGACACAGTCGCCTGTGAAGGACAAGCGAGGTGTGTGGCTTGTCATTTTGGTAAAGCAGTTAGCAGAAGCGACGTCTTAACACAGAACATCGCTGTCACTTCTGCTTCGTATTCGGGAGATGCCAGGTTCACTTTATTGCTCGAAGACTGGACATCTTTACTGTGCGGTTTTATTTGGTTTTATTCCATCACTGGAGGAGCTGCTAGGATATTAGCACAGATGAAGCAATTATCACTTCCAGTTATATCCATGCATATCCATTATTCAATGACCGTCTTGTCACTTGACTCTTTGTAATCTGAGCTTTGAAAGAGCCGTTAAATACAGCGGTATGTGAAGTATGACATGTTCCTACATCGATTGAGAAATGTCATGTCCCTTGTCACCACGGAATGGCCCGTCCACATGCTGCTGTTGGACACAGCCTTCAGATATGGAAGGTGACTGTGAATGCAACAACACACATTTTCGGACAGACAACAGGGGATTTGGCCTGAGGGTCAACAATACCTCGCTACGAAGGTCTAGCAAGTTACGAAATGTTACCCAGAGCCTCTGACTTGCGCAGATTCGTGGTAGAGATCTTGTAAGAAGTCTTGGCGTGTCAAAAAGGAGGAAAGTTTCTTGAGCTAAACGACGGTTAGCTTCTCAAGAACTTTACTCTATGGATTTACCTAATTACTTAATTATCCTCAAATACATTAGAAAAGATACATAACTTTTGGCCGCGCCGTAGCTCAAACGGTTAGTCGCTGGATTCCCACCGCGACGGCCTGGGTTCGAACCCGGATCTGGTCAAGTGGGATTTGTGGTGGACAAAGTGGCACTGGGGCAGGTTTTCTCCTAGTACTTCGATTTCCCTTGCCAATCTTCATTCCATCAAATTCTCCATCATCATAATCGCACGGGGCATGTACAATAGGCCAATCAGTGGCCGACGTGTCGAGTTGACCTAGTTTGACTCAACCCCCAGTATGAGAATTAAAAAATAATTAATTACACAATTTTAGTTCGTTCATTACCGTACCTTCGATAATTGATTGAATCTTCAATTATTTTGGGAATTTTTCCTTTTTTGGGGTGCTGTAACATCGAGTTCCCGAAATCTTCAGTCAGAAATAGCATCGAAATTCGAACCCCGAACCTCTGAATACGAAACTGGTGCATTAACCACTCAATAGCACCTTGAGCTACCGTGCTTTCCTCTCCCATTTATATTTGCTTCTTCACAATGTCACAGTCATTCACAATCCGAAGATTGGGTGCGTGGGCCGATGGATGGGTGGGCCGAAGGATGGGTGTAGGGGCCCAAGGGGTTCTTTGTCGGCATGTAGCCTGTCAAGAAACCTGAATTTAATTTGTATATGTATATTTATTGTAACGACCGTTGGTGTCTCTTTGATTACTGAGCAACTAGCGGCGTCGTTCGAGAGGGCAATCTCTCTCTTGTCTTATTATTGTAGCGTAAATACCATATAAGTCTGAATATAAGGCTATCCCCAATATTTAAAAAAGAAAACCAGCAATATTTTTGCAAAATTGAATATGTCATTTAGTTCCGAAAGCTGTAAGCGAAGTAAAAATTATACGATTAGGAAATAAGGTGTGCAAAAATTAGTACCCTAAATATAATTCTGGGTATCCCTATTTTCACAGGATTGGCAAGTAAAACTCCTTCAGAATCTTCATTTTTATCCTTAAGGATTCGAAAATAGGTGACGCATCTTTCTAGGAACTCTTCTTCTGTTCTCTCTGCTCCCGCTGTGGAGCACAAGGCTGACTTCTCAGTCTCTCGACCTAAGCTGGCTTCACGCCGGCCGGATAAGCAACACTCCGTGCAACAATATAATTGTTCATTTTTGCGGCTGGCATTGAAAAGTGTCTTTCGTTGCTGTGTGAAGTCTTTATTTAGCCGTTTTAACGGAAACTTTTCTGTACGTGTTGCTTAGGAATCGATGTCGCTGTCATGACCTCCGAGACATGTTTCAACAAGCCGTTATCTAGCAATGGATTTGCATATCACAATATGAAGGAATAGAAATTGTCGGGAATCTTTAAGGAAAGAGGCCGCTTGGAGGACTTAGACGCGCATGGCAGGATGAAAATGAAATGGGTGTTAGAGAATGAATGTGTTGAACTGAACGGAATCAGAACATTGTAGAATGGCGAATTTCTATAAACGTGGTGCTGAAACTTAGAGAAATTTCAGGATTTTTTTCTCAGCTGCATAATCTAACTTTCCCTAGAAATCTGTGTATACAGTGATAAAGACAATTAGTTATACCCTCTCTCTTTACTATCCCGGTGGACGGAAAGAATTGAGTAGAAATTGTGCTCTATGTGACTAATAGTAGCTTCAGTAAATCGTCACAATTTTTTTCCCCCTGAGCACTACAGCCCCAGTGGGCCTAGGTCTACCTCCATGAACTTCTCCGTTCACTTCGGTTTTTCTAGATCTTACACAATCGGTAGGACTCCTTGGGCGGGTGATCAGCTCGTCGCTGTACACAAACACAGAAAAGTGCACACACACAAACTAAATGTCCATGCCCTGAGTGGGATTCGAAGCCACGATCCCGGTTTCCAAGAGAGCGAAGACAGTACATGCCTTAGACCGCTCGGCTACCGTGACCGGCATTCGTCACAAATATAAGTACTAACTTTGTTCTGGTGACGATGATGATGACATTTTGTGGTAATACTGTTGTTGTTAATGTTCTTGTGTTTGTTGTTATTGTTGTTGCTGCGCTGATACTGCTGCTAACAGTGTCTTCACTATGTTGCAACATTGACATTAAAACTCTTAAGTTTAATCGCACAAGTGTCTATCAAACCTGATTTTATTCCAGGTGTTACCTGGAATTTTTAGTTCCTGGCTACAGATCCAGATGTCCGGGTTCGTGTCCCGACCCTATGAGATTTTCTGAGAAGTAGTGGGTCTGGAACGGGGTCCACTCAGCCACGTGAGGATATCTGAGGAGCTATTTCAAGGAAATAGCGGCTTCGGTCCAGAAAACCGAAAATTAACGGCCGTGGGATTTCGTTGCGCCGACCACGCGACACCCTCTGTCCGCTAAAGTTGGCACTAACTTTGCCGACGAGCGGTCTCTCGGTCGGTATAGTTCGCTTGCGGACTAAAATGTTATGTTATGCTGCATAATTTGGGATGATTCCAGTGAAAGACAGAAATGTGGTAAATATACTATACATACGTGAACCCAGAAGCACGTGTGATTTATATCTGGCAGGGTATGACTTGTTTCTTATTCCTGTTTGGTACAGAAATTACAGAGTGTTCTCTTCCTCTAAGGATTGGTGTGACATGGTGTGTCTTATGCTCTTATTAGTTCTTATTCTTGTTGCAACCGGTGAGGCATATCCGTTTTCCGAAGCGATTTGTGCTAAAGAAATACTTTTTTCTTGTGACAGCTGGAATAAAATACTAGTTTTAGTACTGATTATTTATGTGGTGTATTAAAGTGACCGCGGCGTGAACCTGACCACTGACTACCATTTAGTGCTGAAGTCCAGATTGGTGGAACTATACCTCCACTTCCCCATACGCCTTCATGGCCTAGTGCTTAATCAGTTAGGCACAAGGACAACTTTACCTTTTATTTTTTACATACGTATTTTGTTAAAACTGGTTGGATTTAAACGGATTACATGGCGTTGTATCTCAGAAGATATGATTCCTCATAACTACCATTGCCAGAATCTCGAATGCTACATATATTCAAACTGATTAAAATTTGAGTTTCCTGCAATTTAGTTTTAATTGCCTTCACATTTCCATCGTTACGTTGTGATAGTATGATGAGATTACACTGTCTACATTCCAACTTTAAAATGTTCCACTCGTCCCATATTTTTCTTCCTTATTTGCCTACAAAATATTTAGATCAAGGCCAGGAACTGTCTCTTAATGTACTGGAACTATAATGGCCGTCTTTATGATCCGACTTCAATTTTCAGTTGATACCTCTTAAAGGTTTCTGAACTAAATAACATCTGGAAATTACTAGGATATTTCTGTTTGTTATTTCTTCACAGCACTCATTGAATTCTGAGGCTAGCTGCAAGAAGAATTGCATATACCGAGTACTAGATACTTAGTGCCTGTTCATATTTCTGAAAATAATATTCCGCAAAGCATCGACAGGTTTAACTTAATTCTGTAAAGGGGAACAAGGCCATTCTTGCTTGATTTGTGTCACATATTTTAACAGAATTTGTTTTCCCCGCCATACGATCCATATTAGAATATGGTAGCGAGGCAAAGGTTAAACTTGCAAGTATCGTATAGCCGAAGAAAAAGAAGTTTAGAACAAGATTTAGACAGTAAATTGGGAAAATGAATTCTAACAAAATCCGTAAATTTTATTTAGCCATTTTTAATTTTGGATTCAATTCGTTCAGTTTGAGGACCAATTTTGTAAGTAAAAAAGTAAAGCTATCCCTGTACATAGGCCCATAGGGTTGTGAGACGTTGAGGGTCCCACATGATCTAGACAATCGGCTCAAAGATGGCGGTAAGGTTGTCAGCCTTACGCGCCGGCGGCGCTTTACTCCCCAGGAAAATTATTTAATTAATTTTGGTACTCATTTCTGTTAAAGGCTTAGTCGACCCCAGGGCCATAGTGCGGCTGGAAGGATTAGTTAAATTGAAAAAATCCAGTGATCTCACCGGGACTTGAACCCGCGACCTTCTGGCTTGTAGCATAGTGACTCAACCAACTACGCTACCGCGTACCCCCGAACCAATTTTGTACTGTCTCTTAATTACAATTTGCGTAATCCTATATCGTTTTATTTAACTGGGTGCAGTAAGACTTTGTATACTGCTTTTTTTTTTGTCTGTTATGTGGTATGCACCTTCTATTCTACGTTCTGCATTTTAAGGGCCATGTGAATTTTAACTGACTCTGTGTCCTTGTAGTTCATTTGACAGACGTCCTTGAACTATTATACACG